GGACGTGGATCTGATTAGTCACAGTACCGATAGGTTCATCTTCTTTAACACGATCATTGATGGAGTCTTCTATTTTTAAGGGTAAAAAAAATGGATTTTTTACAATTTCTTAAAGTTTGAATCCTCGAAGTATGTCTGCCAAGATATTTCACGAAAATCGTAACATTAACGAAGATATAGAGTTTTTTGATAATTCCCAGATATCCATAATATAATGCAATACTATATATCTAAAACTTTAAACGTTCTTTTCTCTACTTTGAAGCTGGCTAACACGATAATTCGATAGAGCGAAAGGAACCCTATTTCGAGATCTGATTGCTGAGATAGAACAATAAGAAGCGACAGAGAATATTGGTACAGACATGGAATCAGTATATGAACAATATACTTATACATCCAGAATTGTAAAAAAGTACTTACTATTGTCATCTCGCCTAACTTTGATACTTTTAAAATCCTAACTTTAAATTCACGATGATAACACTAATATAGAATTAGAAAAGGTTACATTTGTTAAGCTTGTAATCTACATTAATCAGTTATTACTCCATCCTACTCGGATTTAATATTATCTTTTCTAACTCAATTTACAGATATGACACTTTCGACGAATAACAAAAGACCTACCAATAAGTGTTCGGATGATACATGTGTCCTATTTTCATGATAAACTCAAGAAACTTGCCATACTCCAAGCAACAAGCAGTACCTAACCTCATTCGTGAAGATGGCCAATAGGATCTGTCACAAATGAATTGATTCCGATATTCGACTTCTGTAAAATAGCGGATTCGTTTCGGTCGTGCCATAAACTCAGCGCAATTCGCTATCCTTAAAGGCCCCGAAAGGGTCCAAGTATCATAAACCGAGGTGTATTTGCAGTCGGTACGGGACCCAGGCAACGAGTTTGTCCACTCATGGAAAGAATCGCAACGCGGCACGAATATTACGAAAGCTCATCACCATGAAGGAGATGAAATCCACGAGGGTACCCCAGCTACTTATGTCCCAGCGACGTGCCTGGCAACATTGTTTGCAAAGAGTCAGCATGGCTTCGCGGAACAGGAGAGCCCGGTCACGGACTATTCCTACCTATTTGCATAGGTGTAGCCGGTCCTGTGAATGCACGTACACGTGCAACGCCGCCGTGGAAGCACGTTTCCGAGTGTGTTTGAACAAAACTCCTGCCAGCGTCCCTCTTTCTATTCGTCAGACGGTGTCGACCAGTAATCCATGGATAATCCATGCTCTCGATCACGAAGGACTTTCTTGGAAATTCCTATGCCTCCC